AAAAAATTTTAAAAATCCCACACTTCCAAATACTAAAAATGAAAATAATCATCAAAGGAAATATTAATATAATTACATGTTATCTTATATATGAAGAGACCAATTTTTCCTATGCATACACATTCCTAAAATTATTGAGACTATATACACATATGTACATTATAGTAAAATATGGCAGATTTAATTTCCTTTTACTTGTGACAAGAAGTGATGGAGTCTCTAAGGAACTGAACTGCTGAGCATCTAGATCATGTGCTTAGAGGGTCTTAGGTCAGCTCACTTGCTCCTTTGGTTAAAATATGTGCCCTGACTTCTGAGTCTCAAATAACTTCTAGATATTGAAATATATAAAATAACTATCAAATAACTTTTACATATCGAAATACATAAACTGATATAAAAAGAGTATTTATTTCCACCCAATGAAGAAAGAATAACTTTTATTTTCAAGATGGAAAACATGTATTTATCCTGACCAGAGGAACAAATATAAGATAAATTAAATATTTCATCTCTGTAGGTTTTATTTATTTTATTATTCCATAAGGCAATATTCTCCTCTACAAGCTAACTTTTCCACCTTCCTTCTAAGAGTTATTAAGGGGAATCCTTGAGTCATACCTGTGCCCACACATACTTATTTAAATCGAAGAAAGAAGGGTTGTTTATTGCACACTTTAAAAAGTCCCCTGGAGATAGTGTTTCCTTGGATGTTTTTCTCACTTTATCACTCTGCCAATGTGGATTTTTTTTTCTTCAGTGTTCAGATAATGCCAATGTGTCTTATTGGAGTTGTCCAAGATAAATTAGGACTAATATATATCTAGATGTTTTGGTGCCCTTAAGGTTGTCATATGTCTTTTAAATGCATGGAGAGGGACATGTGTATATACTATACATCTAATAACACTCGGCTTCTGCAAGAAGGGATGAGAAAATGCTGCCCCAAACAGGATATCCACATTTCTAAGTTTCTATCATCTTTGTGGAACATTTAAACAAATGCAAAACTTACAGAAATTAAAACAAACAAAACAGATTTTTCCATGCCATTCATTTAAGATAAGTAATTCAGAAGCTCACCTTACTAAGTTTTGGTCTTGTGGGAAGAAAACTGAATGACTTTTGATTTTACACCCATCCTTGTGAAAAATAACTATATAGTGACCTCCACTTTTAGAAAGATTGATTTTAATAGGGACTAATCCTACCTACATGCTGGGAACAACCAAAAAATGCACAAAATATAAAAGACAACAGATTTCAAGATAGTGGACATGATGCAACAAAAAGTCTTGACCCCAAAGGTAGGAAACAAGTCAGATGAGCATAAGTATTGTCTCAAGTTACTACGCTAAAGGTTCCGAGTATAAAGAGGGACAGCCCAGGAAGCTTAGATGCAAGGAAGCTACCTGTAGCCAAGGAAAGAACCATGGGAAAGGATTACAGCCAGATAGTGACCATTACTACCAGCTGGGCTGGAAATCCTCTTGATGCACAGTACACTGGATAAAGGACACAGAAAGATACTACTTTTTGTATTAAGAATAATTAGCTCTAGATAGGTCATTGCTTCAGCCCCACCTCAAATATTTTAAAAGATCCAAAGGGATTAAATACTTGGCAAGTAACAAAACTGCAGTGAGATACCTGTAGACCTCTATCGAAATAGCTGAGATAAAAAAAAAACTGACAAACGTCCAACACAGACAAGTGGGATAGTACCAAGCTGAAATGCTTCTGTCCAGCAAAGAAAACTATAAACAATAAATAAAGGGACAACCTACAGAATGCGGTTGAAAACCAAATATATAAGCAACTCGATAGCATATCCACAAAAAATTAAATATCCGGTTGAAAAATGGGCAATTTACCTGAATAGAAAACTTCCAAAAGAAGGCAGATGAATGGCTAAAAACTATAGGAAAAATGTTCAACATTTCTTGTCTTAAGAGAAATGCAAATCAAAACCATAACGAGGTAACACCTAACCCCAGTCAGCATGGCTATGATAAAAACAAACAATAAAAGAATAACAAGTGCTAGAGAGGTTGGGCAGAAAAGGGAATCCTTGTGCACTGCTGGTGGGAATAAAATTAGTACAGTCACTGTGAAAAACAGTATGCAGCTCCTCAAGCATTTAAAAATAGAACTACTATATGGCTCAATATCACTCTTAGGTACTGACCTAAAGAAGAGGAAATCACTCAGTTGGAGTAGTACTTGAACATCCATATTTACTGCAACATTGTAAGCGAAGACTGAATCAACTAAAGTACCAACAACTAATAAGCAGATTAAGAGAATGTGGCACAGAGACTTAATGGTCCCACTTAACATATACAGAATATTCACGTTCTATGGTGGAACCTGAAGTACTTGATAGCAAAAGAAGTAGAGAGAGTGATGGTAGATACCAGAAGTTCCAAGGTAGAGTTTGGAGAAAATGAGCAACAGACACAAATTCTTATAAAGAAGTGGACTGGGGACCAGCAGTTAGCATAATGGCTATGTCGCTGGACTCTCATGTAGTCGACCACGGTTTGCGTCCCGGACCTGGTGACTTAAAAAACTCACGCCAGGCGCGTGTGCATGCGTGCCCAAGATCCTGAGGGGAGAACAGAGGAGAAAGGATTGCGTCGTGGCCATCCCCCCTGGAGGGTGATTTCTCGCTTTCTGTCTCTCTGTCTCTCTCTATCTGGCAAGCACACGTGCCCTATAGCAAAAACCTCTGCAAGAAAAAAAAAAAAGAAAAATTAAAGAAAAGACTGGATTTTGAAACTTCATACCACAGGTGTGTAAACATGTTACTGATACTGATAATTCAATATATACTTTAAAAAAAACCCCAAAAGCCTAGCATAACTATTATTGAATGTATACAACATTATATAATGTTCATATTGAAGAAAAATGAATATGTCTGTATCCTTGATTATTACACATTTTATACATGCTTTGAAAGACCATTCTGTGCCTCATGAACATGTCCAATGATTATTTGTAAACCAGGAATTATAACGTAAAAATATTTAGATCAAGTAAATTATTGAATGAAATTAAATGACTGATGGTACCAGGGCTCAATGACTACATGAAAAACTGGAAATTTCTTACATCACTCTGGAGGAAAGGGGGCATGTAAAATGCTATAAACACTTTGGAGAGGTCTTGTCTGGCAGCTTTTTAAAACATAACGGTGCAACTATCATATGATAGCCATTCCACGCTTAGATATTTACACCAGAGAAAGCATTCGTCTATTCAAAGACTTGGTGATGAGCGTTCATAAGAAACTTTACTTAAGGGTGTGGTGGCGCCCGCCCTATGGCAAAAATCTATGGAGGCTGGAGGACTGCGGCATTGAGTCCATCTCTCTCTCTCTCTGTCTCTCTCAATGCGCACGATTTTTCTTTGGGGCCGGCAATTGGTGTGGTGGTTAAGGATGCTGGACTCCCATATGGCGAACTGCAGTTCGAGTCCCGGACCAGGCAGCTTGCTTTCTCCCTCTCTCTGTCTTTCTCTCTCTCTGTTTCTCCCTGGTCCAATTAAAATAAATAAATAAAGTTAAATAAAATAATTCTTTAAAAAATTAAAAAAATAAACTTTACTTAAAATAGGCAATAATTTGAAATAAATGAAAAGTTCATTAATAGAAAAGTGAATAAACTCTAGTATATATATATAAATGGATAACAATCTGCAGTAAAAAGGAATGGTCTATTGATAATTGCTAGAACATAGGCGAATCTCAAAACTATTATTTCATGTGGGAAAACGCCAGAAAAAAATATGAACTATATAATTCCATTTACATAGCAGTTTAGATAAAATAATACAAATGTATCTATAATGATGCGAAGTAGTTGGCTGCTGGAGCACAGGAGTAGGGAAGAGCAGAAAACTTTTGGAGGTGAAAGATACGTTCATTATCTTGACTGTGGTGATGGTTTCAAAATGTGTTGCTTTATACACTACAAATGTTGATTATAGTTCAATAAAACTGTTTACAAAGAAAATAATTGTAAAAGCATTTCACTTAAGAATTATTTATTTAATGTCACTCATTCATTTACTTGTTTATTTTAAAAATTTGACCAGAGAGAGAAAAGGGAAGTAAAAAAGCAAGCCACCAGGTCCAGGACCCAAAGCACGGTCAGCCATGAGGAAGTCTGGGACTTCAACCACCACTCCACCTGCAGACCTCAAATTCAGCATCTCTTACGCTTGTATGAATATTGAAATCACCTGGGGAATTTAAAAAAACATGCCGAGGGGACCAGCAGTTGGCGTAATGGCTATGTCGCTGGACTCCCATGTAGTCGACCGCGGTTTGAGTTCCGGACCCAGTGGCTTGAAACTCATGCTGGGCGCGTGTGCGTGAGTGCCCAAGATCCCGAGAGGAGAATGGAGGAGAAGGGATTGCAGCGTGGCCATTCCCCCTGGGGGGTGATTTCTCGCTTTCTATATCTCTGTCTCTCTCTGTCTTTCTTGTGAGCGCATGCGCCCTATAGCAAAAACCTCTTCAAAAAAAGGAAGGAAAAAAATATGCTGATATCTAAGTTCCAAGCCTAAAGATTTTGACTTAATTGCCCTGGAGGCATGGCTTGGATTTCAGAAATTTTAACAGTCTTTCAGGTGATTCTCACAAAGAGCAACTTGGACATTTTTTGTGTATCATTTTCTATGCACAATTAGAAATATGTTATCTTCATGAATCTTTATAGATGATACAATTTTAATCATTAGCAATGAGAACAACTGCTCCCTGAAAACAATCTAGATACTCTTGAGTGGAAGTTTATGTCTGTAAGGGCAATTGTGAGTTATAAAAGCTAAGGCAGGCAGAGGTGTTCCAATTAAAGTACCCTTGCTTTGTAACTGCAGCCGACTAATATTTATTCCATTGTCAATGACACTGACTGTTGGAACTCTTCAGAGTACCACGTTTGGTGAAAAGCTGCCAAGCTCAGGGAGGAGAAAATGCTGTCCACACTCACCTTGGCATAGATGCAGCTGTCGTTGAGTCTCTGCAGTGAGCAGTTCTTGTCGCAGAGAGGGCACATAAAGACTTCTGTGGCTTGACAGATTTCTTGGCTTGAGAAATCAAAGAAAGAAAAGAGAAACCACGATGCTCAGTGTTTAGGAAGACATTTGGCTCTTCCTAGCAAATCCTGTTGGAAACAATAAGGCAGAGAGGAAGCGGAGGAGGAATGGAGGAGGTGGGGACTGGTGTGTAAGCACGGAAGAAATTTAGACTATGGTTCCAGTTCAAACACCTTAGGATACTAGTGATACAAAGATTTTTGTTTGGTGCTTTGAGTTTTAGAAAACTCATTCAAGATAATGTGATGATAATAGGCCATATTTTCATATTTTACACTTCCATGATTTATTTTATTGTACATATTTTTAAAATTTTATTTCTTTCTATTATTTTTTCTTGGGAGGACATGCACTGGCCAGTATGAGAGAGAGAGAGTGAAAGCAATCCCCAAATATGAGATGGCCATGTCACAATCCCCTCCCCTCAATTTCTCCATCCTGGAGGGATCTGGAACACTCATTCACATGTGCCCAGAGTATTTTTCAAGCTGCCAGGGCTGGCATTCAAACCATGTGGTTGGCTATGTGAGATCTAGTTCCCTTAAGCATCGGGCCTTCGGGCCTGTCAGACACTTGAGGTATTTTTACAGGCACTTTTATAAGTGATTTCATGGCACATAAGATAAGGGAAGTCTTAATAAAGCTCACGGGCTCGGAAGTGCCTAAGCTGGAATGAAACCTGACTATTCTGACTTCTGAAGTCTGGAGATCACAGAACTTATAAACTCCACCGCAGTACACATCGCTGGTGCATACGGTTGGTTGGAAACTGGAGTTGATGTGTGTGAGTATGTGTGTGTGTGTGTGTGTGTGTGTGTTGACATGACACACACTGTCATGATGAGATAACACTGTTTGTATTTACCTAAATACAAACTCAGTTTGCTTGTAGCTGTGACATTTGTCTTTTCAGTTTCGCATCATTTCCTTTTTAAACAATCTCAGCATGTGAAAGTTATTCATGGCTTGTGACAGGAGTAGGGCATCAGAAACAATTTCTGCAAAGCCCCATAGACGCAGAGCTCACAAAGACTTATTTGTTAGATGTTTTGTGCATTTATCTGTCATTCATACATGGCCCTTTCCCACTTAGTATTTCTCCTGAGTAAATTTTCTTTAAATACATCTGTTCTGGAAATGTTGAAAGAAATGTAAAGGCTTCATAAATTATGTCTTGAAATGCAACTGTTAATACAGATTTAATTGGTTATGATTACCGTATTATGGGTTGTTTTAAAATATATATACACTTTTTAAAAAATTGTTATTTTTTCATTGATTTATTTTAATTTTACCAGAGAGAGAGAGAGAGAGAGAGAGAAAGTGAAAAATCAAGCCACCAGGTCCAGGACTTAAACTGTGGTCAGCCACGTGGGAGTGTCCAGCACCTTAAGCACCATGACACCTGCTGGTCCCCTAAAAATATATACACTTAAAGGAGAAAAGAATATATGTGCATTTCAAGTATGGAATGTATTATTTTTTCTTGGGAGGACATGCACTGGCCAGTATGAGAGAGAGAGAGTGAAAGCAATCCCCAAATATGAGATGGCCATGTCACAATCCCCTCCCCTCAATTTCTCCATCCTGGAGGGATCTGGAACACTCATTCACATGTGCCCAGAGTATTTTTCAAGCTGCCAGGGCTGGCATTCAAACCATGTGGTTGGCTATGTGAGATCTAGTTCCCTTAAGCATCGGGCCTTCGGGCCTGTCAGACACTTGAGGTATTTTTACAGGCACTTTTATAAGTGATTTCATGGCACATAAGATAAGGGAAGTCTTAATAAAGCTCACGGGCTCGGAAGTGCCTAAGCTGGAATGAAACCTGACTATTCTGACTTCTGAAGTCTGGAGATCACAGAACTTATAAACTCCACCGCAGTACACATCGCTGGTGCATACGGTTGGTTGGAAACTGGAGTTGATGTGTGTGAGTATGTGTGTGTGTGTGTGTGTGTGTGTGTTGACATGACACACACTGTCATGATGAGATAACACTGTTTGTATTTACCTAAATACAAACTCAGTTTGCTTGTAGCTGTGACATTTGTCTTTTCAGTTTCGCATCATTTCCTTTTTAAACAATCTCAGCATGTGAAAGTTATTCATGGCTTGTGACAGGAGTAGGGCATCAGAAACAATTTCTGCAAAGCCCCATAGACGCAGAGCTCACAAAGACTTATTTGTTAGATGTTTTGTGCATTTATCTGTCATTCATACATGGCCCTTTCCCACTTAGTATTTCTCCTGAGTAAATTTTCTTTAAATACATCTGTTCTGGAAATGTTGAAAGAAATGTAAAGGCTTCATAAATTATGTCTTGAAATGCAACTGTTAATACAGATTTCATTGGTTATGATTACCGTATTATGGGTTGTTTTAAAATATATATACACTTTTTAAAAAATTGTTATTTTTTCATTGATTTATTTTAATTTTACCAGAGAGAGAGAGAGAGAGAGAGAAAGTGAAAAAGCAAGCCACCAGGTCCAGGACTTAAACTGTGGTCAGCCACGTGGGAGTGTCCAGCACCTTAAGCACCATGACACCTGCTGGTCCCCTAAAAATATATACACTTAAAGGAGAAAAGAATATATGTGCATTTCAAGTATGGAATGTATATAATTCCGAGCCAAAGTGGGAATAAGTTCTAAGTGATACTATCTAGCAAGATAGTGGTTTACAGGACAAAGATGGGTTTATGCCTGTTCAATTGCTCAGTCCGTACTTCAAGCTTGGATGATGGTATTTATCTCCACTAATGAGGAGAAAGCAATGCTCAGTTTAAGTGACTTGCTAAGGTCACAGAGCTGGTAAGAGGTACTTCAGATAACTAAGATTAGGTGATTCTGATTGTGGGTCCAGTTCTCCATCAACTATGATATATCTCAATGATGAGTAACCCTTTTCTACTAAAAAAAGTAACTTATTGAGACAAGCAGGTGGCATGGTGGTTAAAGTATTAGACTTCCGCATGGCCAACCCTGGTTTGCGTCCAGACTCTGGTGGCTTAAACTCACACCAGGCATGTGTGCATGTGTGCCCAAAATCCTAGAAGAAGAATGAAGGAGAAGGAATTACAGTGTGGCCATACCCTCTGGGAAGTGGTTTATCCCTTTCTCACTGTCTCTCTCTGTTTCTCCAGCAGGTATGTGTGCCCTATAGCAAAAACCTTAAAAATAGTAATAATAGTAGTAATAATAATAACTTATTAATAATGCTGGGATGGGTTTATATATACTATAGTACGGGTATAGCTAATCGGTTGCCTGCATTATTCTAAATGAACCAATGTCTCAGTTTATAGATACTATAGTATTCTTACTTTCACACTCATCATCTTGCTGGTAATTGGAATGTCTATTGGAATTAGGAGGAGGCAGATGAAACCTACATTTTTAAAACTCGAGAGTTGCTGGATGAAGGCTCAGCAATGAAACATGATGCCCTGTGAGGCTGACCACACCCACTTCCAGAACCTGGAGTATGCTGGGCATGTGTGTGCCCATAATCCAGGGCTGCCTGAGGCTGGGGTAATAATGGATGAAGACCCTGCTAGGGTGTGTTCCCTCTCTCTTTCTTTGACTTGAGGGAGAAATAATAAACCTGAACAAATACAACAAAACCCGAAAGAAAGTTTAAATCTCCCCACAATACTAATGTAGGAACAAGAAAAATTAGCACATTTTTGAAGAAAACTTTGATGAAAAGAGGCTTTATATAATAATTCCTGTGTTTCAAAAATGATACAGTTTGCCCTGCACTGGTATCTCATATGAAAAGATATTCTCT